TACCAACAATTAAGTTAGTAATATTATTATGAATATAATTGGTATAAGAATCTTATGATGTGATATCTTCTTTTTTTGTTCGCTACCAAAAAGACCTATCTGTACCAACTTGTATCTAGTAATCGGATAAAACTTTTTAAAATATATTTCAATTTGTCATGAACCTTACTTGAAAACAACTTTTAATTATTAGAAATTGAACTACTGGACTCTTCAATATAAGATTTWAAAAATTTGATTATGAATCTTAAAATTATGTTTATATTAAAATATTGAACTCAAATAAAATTTATTAAAAATATTATTTCACCGTAAACTTTACRTCAAATTTAAATTAATTGTATAAATAATATKGAATAAGTAGGATAATATGATTAAAGATTGGTAATAGATTGATACATTAAACCTAAAAAAAGAATAAAATAAATAATAATATTTATATAATGCAGCATTGTCATGCTTGTTTACTGTGTATGTGTTGAAGTGCTCTGCTATTTCTTCTACACACTTGCAGAGCATAGAAATTATACTTATTAAAAAATCTTTAAAAATGGTTAGTGTCAAAAAAAGGGTCTTTGATTTACAAAATTTCAACTACTTAAAATATCATTTAACATTAATTGTTATCATGTGTGTGTTCGAGAAGAATGAAAAGAATTTGTACAATTAAGTAGCTCGTGACTGATATTAATGAATTTATTTTAATGGTATCTATACTACTTAATGAATTAATGATAAAGACATTGGAAGCAATGTGGTTYACTTTTAAGTAAATAAGTACATACTATACTACAAACTATTTTGTTTGTATACTCAATAATTAATAAATATGAAAMAAAACTGTCGCTTGAAAAATTATTCATGAGAATTATACTATCTTAAATTTAGTAGTAACCTTTAATAAACATAAAAATGTATTTTTATACACTAATTATCTAAAAATGTCAACCTATATTTATACTTTTTTCATTGATGAGCAGCAATAAAAAAAAATCATATTAGACTTTGAATTTTCAATTGGTTTTATATTAATAAATGCAGAATTTTTTAAGGTTAGAACTTTTTACCAGCATTATATACCTTAAAACATCAAAATGTTTCAAATTACTCTGTTATATAAAAATAATTTAATACATTGTTACTCTTTTTGGATTGCACATACTACACTTATTATAATATAGTACATTATCCAATATATTATTACAATTTCTTTATTTTAATTTGTTTTTGCTCAGGACATTTACAACTATTTGTTAATAAAATAAGTAAGAAATATGACTGATGTAAACATATACATAATGATATAAAATATAACATGAAACACAAGGCAGGAGAAGTCATCTATCAATGGAACACTCTGATAATTAATTTATTAAATTAATATATTTTTAATAAGTTATTGCACCAACGCCTCTTGAGAAAATGTGGTGGTGGGTTGTTTTTAATGTATTAGAATTATTAATCTTGAGTTAATAAAATGTACCCCGACTCAAAATAGACACAATGTCAAAATATGTTGTAAAATAGTAAAATTAAAACAGCATCAGTCAATGTAGTAAAAACATTAAGACCGATTAACAATTACCACTTGTCTTACAAGTAATATACTTATATTTCAAAAATAATGAATGAGCGATATTACACAGATACRTTAAGAAATACTTCAAAAAAATGAATACTTTAATATACCATATAATTTGAAAATTTAGTAAAAATTATGAATTATGAYGTAAATTAGTCAAATTACATCATTAACTATGTACCTTTAAATGACAACTCATCYACATATTGCAATGTGTTTTAAGATATGTACGACATATCAAATTTACACATTGTAGAACTAATCATAGGGGGGATGCGAGGTATACCATAGATCCTCTTTACAATAAAACTGATAAATTATAAAAATTACTTCACCAAGTTTAAAAGTTTACATCCTTTTTACAGAAGATTAGAACTACAATAAAGTACTACAAATATCAAATGCTAAGTTAAAATTATATKTTTACTTGTATTAACTACCTAATATTTTTAGAACTTTATTGTAGTTATGTAATACATTATTTTTTTAAATTCTAATTTATATTTTTTTGAAATATATTGGCATCCTCTGAGAATAAAATTTGCGCACGCCTATGGAACTAATTATAGAATGTTAGATTTAATACGATGAGCAAAGTTATTATCAAACTTAAAGGTAAGAGCATTATTTGTGTCAGTGTATTTGCTTCTGCAATATTTAGATTTTTAAACAAATTAAGTGTCAGAGATACTATAAAACATAACTATTTAAAAATACTCTTC